AAAACTAAAAAAAAAGTTTTGATTGAAGAATCTCCTCCCCCCCCCCGGAATTCCCCACCCCCTCCAGTTGTGTGGACTGGCTTAAAGGCAAGCCCGGGATAAAACTGGTGTATAAGAGCGCTTCGTAGTGATGACTGAGCTGCGGAATGAGCCTGAAAGTGAAAAAAAAGCAAGGAAATCATGGAAGCGCTAAAATTAGGAGCCTTAACCTTCAACTGTTCACCAAATCGGGAAATATTTGGAAGCACTTCACAAAACGCCTTAAAATACCTTCCTCTAACCTTCTTCGTTGTTATTCTCGATGGAACCACAACACAAGTGGCCCCCTCAGTCATCTCGCTACTACTGCCAAGCGAATTTTGTGATAATTCTCGCCCGATGAACAAATTTGGGGAGACGAGCAGTTTATCAGGGGCCGGAAAGTAACTTACGAACAGAGAGGGACCCCTCCCTGGTAAGGTATGCTCTCCCCGAAAACTCTCGGGGAAGGCCACGCCCACCGGTTCTCGGGGATATCTCCCCGATTGACATGCAATCGGGGAGATATCCCCGTGATTGACATGCAGTCCGGGAGACATCCCCGAGAACCGGTGGCATTGCCTTTCCCCGAGAGTTTTCGGGGAGAGCATACCTTACCAGGGAGGGGTCCCTCTCCTGTTCGGGGAAGCATACCTTTCGGTCACAGGGAGCACCACCATTATCACTCTTGTATGTACTGCGGAAACTGCTTTCTTTTCTCCAAAGCCATCAGTAAGAAAATTTACCAGGATGATTGGTAACACTGCGAAGAATATGGTCAGAGGAATGCTGATAAGAAAGTGCACGACGACACCCAGTGTGAGCAGTTTCTGGTCGAATGGCTCAGCAAGTGGGGAGAAGTCAATGCCGAGCACTTCTCTCATCCTAAAAATATATTTTGAATCCGTTTCAGTGAAATAATAGAAGTGTAGGAAGTTAGTAAGTATGATCCTGATTCTCTTTTTGCAGTGTGAAGGTCACAACTAAGCTGACTTCACTTTCAAAGCAATTCGAAATCCTTGTGATTTCCTACCGGAAATAAGAAAGAAGTGCGAGGGAAAGTGCATGCTGTGAGAGAGAGCCCAGACCCACGTGTGCTACGAACGAGAAAAAGTGGCAGAGGCAGAGGGCAATGGCAAACAGCCTTGGCCGCTGCTCAGCACTTTTATAAAGACAATGCTTTTATGCAGATAGCCTCCTGCTTCCTAAAGAAGAGCGACTGTCCTCCGCGCGCTACCGGACGCTTCTTGAAGGCAGGATACACAATAGGTCGGTGATCAAACAAGGGTAACACCTGCCCAGTGGAAAGACAGGAACCCATTAAGTATGCGGACCATTACGACATTCGGAGCAGTGGATATGCCCGTGGCGATCTGGTGTAGCTCTACACTCGCCATTTGGCTCTAACCATCTATCACAGAGAGCGTTAGTGTTGATGAGTTCAGCACCACGAGAGTCGCAGTAATACGGAAATCAATGGCAAGGAAAAGATCCCAATTTTCGTTTTTGTAGCGCTTTTCATGGTTTTGCCCGGTCCCTGCACCATTGATCACCTCTGCCTTGATTCCATTAGGTTGCGTTCTAATCGTAAACTTTTAACAGCCTCGTGAAGTTCATATGCGGCCCATGAGACCACTTCACGATAGACGATGACAACAAACTTGCACCACAGAACTCCCTTGTCGCGCTCTACAGGGCTATTCCTTAGATTCGGGAGGATGACAGTCTTCCAATACGTCATGTACCCAATTGTAGCAGCATTCTTCGCACACTGGGACATTTGCACTCAATTCGATCTTAAAGGCATGCCCCAGGATCGCACTGGTGTGGCTCTTGCACACGAATGTGAATGTATCGGTGCCAAGTGGGCCGGCAGTGAAGAAAAAAGGAAAAGAATCCGTCGAAAACGCTCAGGTTGAGGGCTCACTCACCTTCCTAATTGGCTGTGCTAAAGGAACGAGAGACTAAGCGCGAAGAGGAGAGTATGGGGCGAGAGAGCGCATCAGATGAGAGAGCACCAGACAACGGCCTGATAAGAGAGCTCGTTCGCTGCAGCTCGAGCAGCTTACTTTGCAAGCCCAAAGCGTTCTTGTCGGTCGAATTCCGTGCACGTGAACGCCACATTGTGATTGTCCCCTAGGGTTCTATACTTCTGACCGAAGAGAAGAGTTCACACGACCTCTGCCTGGGTTGTGCCTTTAAGTGGAAGATATTCAAACGACCCTTTTAAATGAGATTTTAGGCCAAGTGAAGGAGCGTTTTCCGAAAATTAATATCGAGCATTCGTTTTGTGGTCTAAGTAAAACCTAGCGCCACTCCTGCATTAAGGGCGAGTGAAGGTCTGATTCTAGTGGAACCGTTTTTATAGCGGAAACCAGTTCGCAGACCCTTTCACTCCTTGAATTTCTCAATTCACTTGACGTGAGTCAGGCTGGAGAGTGAATCGGTATGATCAATTCCATAGTAAACGAAATCAATAACAGCGAGGCCATCACCAGATAATACAGTTCAATTTTGGCGTGTAATATAACGGACGGAGAAGCAAATATTAGCTTTGAAGTTACCAATATAACATTTTTGAAGAATGCTGCGTTGTGCGCAAAGTTTTGCTCACAGCACAGCATTTTTGTGATACCATTATGACTATTCCTATAAAAAATACCCACCTGGTTAGTTTGAGATCCCTCTTCCTCTGTTGTAGTGTAAACGACGACGACAATGTGGATGGAAAATGACCTTGAGAGTGCGCGGCGGATGGAAACGAGAGGGCGCCGTCCCACCGCATTCTTATCAGGTCGTAGAGTCATTTGCGTATCAATGGCTACATGTGGCAGAACAGAACTTTATGGAATCGCTTATTACTGATCTCATACTCAAATCGCAATTTTTCTCATGACGAATTTCAATAAATAAACAAGTCGCTGGTGGGCCAACTTTGCTTCCGTTTGAAAATCAATACATAGGGCTGCTAAAAGACTAGAGGTTGGGATCGTGAATAGAACTGTAAATATTAGGTTGTTCAGAAAGTAATGCGGGTTCCGAGATGCCACGCCATGCATACTTATAAAATTTTACACAGAAATTCTCTTCAGAGCTGAAGCCCTATATATCATGGCAAGCTATTGTATCTTCTTTCCTTTAGTATATTTGAGTTTCAATATGGCTTGCTATTTCGGGGTTTTTATAGATTTGAATAAAGGTGTCAAGACAGCGATTTTGGCAAGTTTCACTTCGATGTGCTGAAACTCTGAGGTAGTGCTCCGTAGACCAGTCGAAATAACACTGAACGGATG